AATTGTAAGAATTTATCGATATCGCGCGGTAGAAAAAATGGAAGAAGAGAGAAAGAGAGAGAGGGAGAGTGTGAGAAACAAACTGTCGCTGCGAACATCGCTTGGCACGTAGTATAAAACTGATATTTACACGATACTCCGTGAATCTCGATACGCCGGGAGCGGCCCGCTCGGAATCGACGGTGTTTCGCGCGCGCGGCAAACACGCTCATATATTTCGGCGAGATATCGCGGCGGCGCGCCCGCCTGCGGGACCTCTGTGCCCTCACGGGCTTCGAAAAACACCAGCGGTGGCAGGTCGGTAATGTCGCCGGGGGAACGGCGCGCCGTGATAAAAAATAATTTACAGGCTGTGATGACTTTGCGCCGCGCGATCAATTATCGCTCGGGCAACAACGTGGACGCGCGGGCGCGTGCAACGCGCGACAGTTTCACGCTGACGTTAGTTAGGGGGGCGTGTTACGATTTATGACAGCGCGATGAGTGCCCGCGTTGCGGTCCATTTACACGTCGCGATTACCGGCACATCGATACAGCGTATATAGCGCGCCATTAATATTTCGACAGTTTCACCGGTGACAGGATGTTCGCCGGCAAGAGGAGGACGGACAGGTACGGGGAGGAGCATTTCCATTCTTCCTGATTGTTAAACGATTGTTTTCGAATGAATAAATATTTTCTCTGCCGTACCGAGAACGTATACGGTTTCGTATTAACGGGACATTAATGCGAATCTCTCTCTCTTTCTCTCTCTTTCGCTATAATGAATAAAATAATAATGACGAAATAATGATGGCAGATCTTCGATATAAAATCTCGACTATCGGGTCTCATTCGAGAGTTAACCAAGTACATAGATAAGGATGTATAATTTAAATAGAAACTTAATATTTCTCGTTTTTCATGTTTTATCTTACCTTGCGCTTCTCGCTTTCTCTGCTCTCGAGCGTATTCTCGTATAATATTTCAAAAGAAGTACTATCGATCGCAGGAAACAAGATAACATTACCGGGAATATAAAAGTTGATGTTTTTACCCTGTATCTGTCTTTATCGCGAATGACGCGTTTTATGACAACATGGTGCAATGAGCGTCAATCTATCAGCCAGCCAGCCAACGCGACAGGTCAATGGCAACAACCGTGATCCGTCAGCTTTTATCCTAATAGCCGACTTCTCACCCTCGGAGATAAGATTATCTGTTATCAATTAGGCGAACTCCAACCGCATCCGGTGCAATAATAAGCGCGAGTCGGATTTCTTCGTTTATTCACACGACGAGTTAGTTTTCGTTCTGAAAACGCCGGATATTCTATTTTACCCGATAAAAATCCGTTCAATTAGATAAACAGTCGATAGAAATCGCCGAACGATGAGAATGGATTTATTGTCGGTGGCGATTCGGCAGAAATTCGTACGTGACAGAAATGGTGAAACATGAGAATTTTTATCAAACGACACGGAAGTTAACTTTGTATCGAGAAACGCGAATGCGACGATCTCGCGATTGAAAGGATCGCGATTTAGAATCACTCACATCATGTCGAGATGAAATTACATTTCGCCATTTAAATGAAATAATACTTCGGAGTAACACTTCGGCCTCAAAATAATTTATTGAGAATAAAGTGTTCCATATTTATAATTATAATTGCATAATGAAATAATTCTAATTAGATAAACCATTTTCATAATATGTGTTGTAACAATGTTATAGATAATAATTATATATATCGTTACTGCTCCGTTTTGATTGAAGCACAATAAGTAATATAGCTGCGGCTGAAGATTATTAATTTGTAATAAAATTAACCTCATTACTGATATTTCACTCAGTGTTGACTAAAACAGTCCTTGCTACGAGCGTTAACTCAGCCAAGATAACATTGTTTGAAGTTTTCACGTTTACGTACCGATTAACTCGGCTAATCGTAACTTATGACTCTGATATGATAATCACGATATCATACCGGGAATACGATGTCGAAATTATCCGGCCTCTTACAAATCTAATTTTCCCTTTCTCTATCTTTCCCTCCTTCTCTCTCTCTCTCTCTCTCTCTCTTTCTCGCCCGCTCGCTCGTTCACTCTCTTTCCGGCTCGCCTCTTTCCGGCTCGTGTATGAAAGCTAAATGAAATGAACCGTAATATGGAGGCGTATAATTTGCGCGCTATGTCGGTCTCGCAATCGCGAAACGCTACTCCTCGTGAGGTAGCGGATTTCAAATATATCAAACGAGAATTACGCGTCCTCACGATCCACGGAGATTACGAATACGGCATCGTGTAGTCGGCCAACATCTGGCGCGTTAAATAACACGCAGTTACCGATTGCTACGTACGCACACGTGCGACCCTTCGCAAAACAAATCTCTCTCTCTCTCTCTCTCCGAAACAGGTTATTTTTGACACACGCGATCTGATGTACTGCATGCTTCTCGAGCCGCGTATTTTCTCTCTCTCTAAACTGATCGTAAGAGAAACTAAAGGTATGCGGTTTGTTTCAATATCTCGGAACGTTTTGAGTTCGTAGCGAACGAAGAGGCGACGGGCGGGTGATTTCGCGAATAGAAAATCGCCATGGGAGTGGAGTTAAATAGTAAACGGGGTCAAGCGACAGCGATATGCTGACGGATGAATATTAGTTAAACGGGGATCAGTGCGCTAATTAAATCATAATTCATTTAAGTAATACCCGCCAATTACAACTAATGCAACTCGTCCCGCTACGTCGAAATCCTCCCAGCTGTTCGCCGCAGCCGCGCCGATGGAAGATTAATGCTGTCTATTTAGGCCAGGTCGCATTGGCCACAACTGTAAACTAATCCTAGATTAGCGAACCACCGTCCTTTTCCGGGTTGTACACTCGCCTCTGTGTGCAATAGAGACAGCGAAGCGGGATTCAGTCAATCAGGATTAGCGTCGCTGATTACTGCCGGTGAACCAGCGAGGAGTGTTTATAAAGAGAGATTATTGCCACGTAGAAGTATTACGCAATAATACAGACGGGAATTATCGATCATTATCATCTCCACCTCTGTGTCAGCGTCCTCGTAATAAGCTATTGTGAAGTTCCAGAAGGACTCTGCTAAAGAAAGTATAAGCTGATGAAAATGTTTCTCACGATTATTCGTCCAATATCGCGCGATCCTTTTAACACACGACCAGATGTAATTTATTTTAATATAATTCTTTTAACGAGTCTTTTTTTGACCAAACGACACAATATTTCATGATACGATTGACCAATCAAAAACAGTTGGTAAGTACATTAATTGAATTTCGTTATCTCCAATTCTCGCGCTTTTCTGACACTTCAGTGCTGATTCCTTCCGACAATAGAATTCCGCTTTTAATATCGTAAAAAAAAAACAAGAGCCCGATCGCGATTCTGCTAAATTTGTCGCAAGATTTGGTCCTCGTGCGAACTAAATTTTAATACACAGTGGCTTAACTTGTATTTATTTAGAATCCCGTTTAGACCCTTTTATGACCCATGGTCATGAAAGAAAGGCTTTTCCACCATAAGCAAGCTTCGACAGGTTCTCTCGTTTGAAAGCGCAAATTCTACGATTTGCACGTATTCGAGAAAAGAAGAGCCACTCTGACAGGACTCGCGTGGTGGATCGTCGTAATCGTTACAAATCTCTCTCTGGCTGCATTCCGAAGCAGCGGCAGTTCCCCTTCAATCCTTCTCGAGACCTTACGTAATCCCTTACCTTTCTCACTTTCTCGTCTCTCTCTTCCTCACTCTCCTTCTCTCAGCGAGCTTGAGAGTCTTCGAAGCTCGCCCACGTGTCAGATAGCTCATCTCTCTTTTTCTCTCTCTGTTTCTTTCTATCTCTTTGACCTGAACTATCGCGCTCTCTTTTTCTCCTCGAACTTCGACGCAAGCGGCAGCCTTGGCCTTTGAGGTTTCAAGCGAGATCCATCGAAGCCTCCCCCAGAGTTTGACTCGTCTTTCTTTTCTTCTTCCTCTATTGATCCCAGAATACCACACGTGTCACGCTGTCTCTCGCGCACTACGAGGTCCTGCGTTTCCTTCGATACGCCTAATGAAATAACTCGATCCCTTATGTGCTCCGTCCTTCACTACGTTTTTCCCTTTTATAAATTAGTCCCTCGTTCTCGTACGTTACGGTAATACGAATTATCTTTTCATTTATCGATACGCATATATCGAGTGGCCTCTCTTTCCGGCAGAGATAATGAAGATAAAATCGATGGCGCGATTGCGTACCGCGCGTTCGTCGTGTTATTAGAATTTCATGCGGGAAAGCATAATAATTCCCCGCGGAATATACGAGCGTTTAATGAAAATTGTCGAATACATTTGACGGATGTAAAATACACGAGCCGGAGAATCCGGGCTGCGATCAGATATAACACTGGGTCGGAAAACGAGGCCGGTGTTCCCGAAAAATAAGGGCCGGCGATACGCGATTGTCCCTAGTGTAGGAATGCGCCGGGGATGCAGTAACTGACCTTCTCAATGCAACCGGTTTTGCATTCACGCCACAGTTCCCCGTCCCTCCTGTCATCCATCCGAGACCCCTTACTCGGCACTCACCGCGTACCACGTACACGCGCACACAAACATAGCAGCCACTATGCTGTCCCTTCTCGAGAATGGAACCGAACGATCTCCGTCTCCGCGCGCGCTATTCGCGACTCTTACGAAATCCCGATCGTAAACGCGGAAGTGCGCTTCTGTTTCGAGCAAGCGGCACGGTTGTTGACACACTGTTGTTATTACAGGCAGCGCGACTTGCGTCACTAACGCGAGGTGCCGCTCGCTTCTATCGTGCACTCGATTCTCATGCATTCTCTTGACGCACGCTTGCCACGGATTTGAAATAAACGCTAGATTAACTCCCCGAGCTGAAAATATCCCACACGATTCCAACGACTGGTGCGCGTCAGGTTAGGTTCGAGCGACACTCGCGGGTGAAGACTCGATAAGCCGTTTCGAAATCGCATCTAACAACCACCTAAGCTTACCCTTATTACTACTCCTCCTTCGCCTCTTCCCTCGTCCTTGTCTTCGGGCTTCACGGTTCTTCCAACGCGTAGTCAATGTCAAGGCGACGTTTTCGCGCTCGGCGTTCGCTTCCGTGCGTCAGCTTCTCGTGATGGCTTGCAAATCGCGTCACGTGCGCGCGTCGGGAATATTCGGATCTTTTATCTCGGCTCTCGAGCGAGACGTGACTCGCTCGGCAAGCGAGGGAGAACGAACGGACGCGTGTGTTTGTACGTACGAATTACGATGACACGGAAGCGCGACGGGAAAATCGCCGAGGAAAAGGGAAGAAACGCGCGGTGAAACGTTCCTGCCCGTACGATGTCTCGGCGCGGACTGACTGGCGAACGCGCGTGTCTCTCCTAGTCGGCGGTGGTCGCCTAGAGAAGCGAGGAGGAGAAGGCGCGCACGATTGGTCGCCGGTGCGCCTGCCGGATAACGCGCGTGTTGCTCGCTCTGCCTTCGAGCTTCATTTCATTTCATGAACTGATAGATTGCTAATTGTTACGTATGAATTTCACGACTCTACCGACTCGACCGATGATGCGGAGTATTTCCACGTACAATCGGTCGCGGGATGGTTGCTACGGTTTTTCTTCTTACATATCTTGGAACACATCAAAATAAAAATACAACGAAGCGAACCTATGATTCCTGAACATGCGCAGTAAATAATCAAACAGCTGTCAAATTAGATATGTATATGTCAAAATTACATATGTACACGTTATTAATAAATAAATATGTATATTTTGACAGCTGTCTGATTATCTACTGCGCGTGTTCGTAAATATCATAGATTCGCATCGTTTTAGTTTTTCTATGTTCTGAAACATGTAAAGAAAAACTGCCGCAGCTTTTATATGACCGACTGTACGATAAGAACGCGAACAGGACGAGTCGAAATTCGTCGGAAGCGTGCGTCACGTGATATGCGTCGAATGCGCAATGCATTCTTCTTAATTTACCGAACTCTATCTCTTTATGCTGGTACATTGTTTTCGAGAGAGAGAGAGAAAGAATAATAGTTACCGGTTACGAGATATTACCACGTCTCATTAAGTTGGATGTAAAATGTAATTAATTGCATATAGAAAAGTATTTGTACGATCGAAAAGGAACGGATGAAATGAGATGAAAAAAAAAAAATATATATATATATTTCAAATTATATTACTTTGCCGTATCTTTAATTAATAGATAACTTAATTCATTAATAATTAGATTAGCAGTTAATACGCTGACTGCCGCGTTCATTTCTATTGATTGCATGAAAGCTTAACTGACAATTGAATTATTAAAGATTTAATTACTAAAGATACGAAAATAAGAGCAATACGAGACATACATATTATTTATGTTGCGTTTTATTGATTTCCTGTGACCGAATAACCGATTTTTCCATCGCAAATAATTATATTTCATACGTAACTTAGTGAAGACGCGGTGGTGACCGGCGACTGTCACGACGTTGAACACGTTAATCGCGCGCGTGACAAAGTCTAAACCTCGGGATTTCGTGAGAGATAAAAGAGTCCTGATACGCGACGAGTTCATTACTTCAAATTAGGGGACGATTTCTCGCCGAGGGGGGAAGAATACCTCCAGCGCGAAAATATGTATACGAGGAAAATGTTACGAGACAGAGTTTTCATAATTCAGGTGTCGGCATTGTTCCCCCGAAGAACTGTAAAAATACACGCCAGCGACAAAAAGGTTGGTTGCGCGTTAAATTAAAGCGACCGACGTTGTCGCACATCCGCGACTCTGAATGCGACTCCGGCGGTGGCGGACTCGCCGAGGCCTTAGCGAATGCAAAACGCGACAGTGCACGAAATTCTCGGTCTGCTGCATCGGGGACTACGTTTCCTGCACGAAATTAAAATATGAAAGGACGAATGAAAATACGGCCTCGGTCACCAAAGGCAGAGACGATAAAAATCAATGTCGCCCGATTTTTATCGTTTCGCCACCGCGTACGACGGTGTATACAAATGCGACTCGACGGCACACTGGGTTTGTCTGTGTATATACGTGCGTGTGTGTGTGTACGTTTCACTATTTTTACGTTTTCTGCGGGTAACACAGCGAGCCAAACCCCCGTATTCGTGCCACTCGGTCAGATTTTTGCGTTGCTATTTGAGAGCGCGCGCTGTAATATCGAAAGACTCGACAACAAGAACGGAAAAATACGCGGTCTCTGCACATGACCGCGGTGCATTTAGATATCTCGAATCTTCAACGAAGACGCATTCATGTAAAGGACAGGAAAGCCATCGGTAATATCGAAAACTTCGAAAACTTCCGAGAAAGAAAAAGAGAGAGAGAGTCAGCTTTTCTCAAGTTACATCGATCGGATATCCCTCGTCTATTTTTACGAGTAACGCAGTATTCTGTCCGTAAATGTCTTTCTGCCTTTCTTTCTCGAGTTTTTCATTGGAGACGCGCCTGTATAATACGGGTAGATACGGAGTATCGGGAGATATTTCGGATTATCCTTTGAAGTTGCGCATGCTTTCGGGCACGTTCCGCGATATTGCACCAGCGCTTTCTCCTTCCTTTACCGTTCTTCCTCGCCGCCTCTCTTTTTCCCTTTTGCGAAAACAATGTGTGTACCGGCATAAAACGACAGAACTTGGTGGATTAGGAAGAATGCATTACCGCGTTCGCGCACTCGCTCTGCATTACCGCGTGCTTACAAAAGCTCCCGGCTTCAGTTCAAATCTCCCGGGGGGCTACCTTTCAAATCCTATTTCGCGGCGGCTTCCCATTCGGGGCCCGCCGGCGGCATTAAAAACTTTCGAGACTGCCGAGGCGGACAGTTTGTCGGTTTTGGCTCGAGCCAAACGACGGCTGGAAAAAGCAGGAGGCGCACCGACGCGGAGAATCCGGTTGGCCCCAATAAAAAGAAAAAAAAAAAAAACGCGCGTGCGCGTCCGAACGTGGCGGAAAATCTCGCGAATTGCTCCCGGCGGATCCGCGCGGCGTTCCGCGTACTAAAGATCCTGTCGCTGCGACCGTCGAGGAAGGACGCTACGTCCGGATCGATGGACGGGTCGGAAAGCAAATTCGCGTGAAGGTCTCTCTCCTATCGCGAGCCGGAAAAGGATGACGGGGCCCGTGCTATCGGTCACGCGATTTTCGTATCTCGCCGAGATTCTCCCGGATATCCGAATCAATCTAAACGGCGCGGGATCGCTCGTATATTTCAATTTTCGTCCGACGCGCGTTTCCTGTTCCGATTGTTCGGTATTAATGAAAAGAAAAGCGGCGAAAAAAAGTGTGGCGCGCGCCGTAAAAAGAAAAGAGGAGAAAGAGAACGATCAGAGACGTTTCCTCTCTTTTACGAGCGAATTAATGACTCAATCGAGCATCGACGTCTCGCATCGGGGAGGCCCGCGCGTTTTATTTGTCGCGCGGAAGTGCAGACGCGCGTGGTTTATCTCGATCGTCGCTGTGAAGCGGGTAAATCCTGCTCCACGCTCGCGTACGCTTGACGTATCTGCGAGATCTATCCGCGCGGGTTAGAGGCCGACGTCGTTCCAGACGGCCTTTCCAACCAAGCGCGTGATAATTAAACGGCGAGCTAAGAGTTAAAAACTGCGCGAGAGTTAAAAACGGCGGAACGGAGGGAGAAAAAAGCGAAAAAAGAAAACGCATTTGCACCGGCAATTATAAAAGTGAGCTATGAATATGGGGAATAGTAATCGCGTATTCTATTCGATAGCATTGCATGTCGTAAATTAGCTGTAAAAACGTTACCGAGACGAATACGGAAAAAAGTAATTATTCAAAATTATTCCGTCTCATTAAATCGTCGAAGGACGTCGGGAAAAGCTAAAGTTAGGATCTTAGCATCAGAATGTTGCATAAAGATGATTCCCCGATGCATTGTTCAAATATCGCACGACGGTTGCCAGTTACCGGAACATTCACGACTGGTCGAGATGACAGAATGACCGCTACCGAGACGAATGAAAGAAAAAAAAAGTGATCATTTCAAATTATCCCATTTCATCGAATCATCGACGGGGAAGAGCTAAAGTTAGAACCTCGACATTAGAATCTTGCATTAGAACAATCATCCCGATCATCGGAATACATTGTTCAAATATTGTACGATGGTCGAACCGATCGCCCATCCCCCTCGCGGTGGCGAATTAGACGAGGGTAAATATCTCCGTCCACATCGTTTCCGGCACGGTGGTGGACGCAATTATCTCGATCAGGAGAGAGAGAGAGGCTCGATTGCCGGCGGGTACGCACTTTTCCGCGACGTGTAATTAACGCGACTGTGTATCCGCGACTCCCTATCCGCCGGTACATCGGGTGCACGTTCGCCTCTCACCCCGTGACGCGACGCTATGGGAGGGGATGCGACGCGACGCCGCCGGTGAAGTTCTCACGGGAATGTTCACCGTCCGCGCGTCTCCCCGCGTCCGGTGCACCTTCTAAGACCGTACCTATCACTTTGATCCCGGCAGTTTCCACCGTCACGCTGCTGCTACCGCTGCTGGCGGTCCCGGGTCAAACATTAACCCATTTGCGATAACGGAGTTTCGGCTCGAAAGCCCCTGGACGCGATCGGCGAATTTGCATTCGAATGTTAAGCGGCACCTCTGGAGGGAGATTGAAAAGCGCGGAATCGAAACATCAGTTTCCGCGGCTGGACGATAAATCGCGATTTTTTGTATTTCCAATATTTCTTCGCGCTGCATAATCACACGCGTACGCACGCACGAATAGATGGTTTTTTCTACATGATGCTCGTAATAAGACAGACGTAAGCAGCTAGGAATTCATTCCCACGATTGTTACGGAATAATTCTCGATGGGAATAATTCCCATAAGAGAGCTCGGAATTAATTAAAAATACAAAGCTACACCGAGGCACCGGGGAAGGACGATACGGTGTTGCCAGGTGCGAACGCGCGTTGTATTATGCATGACCGGAGTGTTAAGTATGAAGAGCAGAGACGGAACGCACCTTGGGGCATCGCGGGATGTATGAGACTCCGGGGCGCGTCCGCGTAGACTCCCAGAAAGACAATGCAACCTGACATCCGCCACTTTAAATCAGGCCGCGCGCGCGACCACTACTTTTAACGCGACGTTTTAAGCTCATTTGGCTCGCGTGTAACAGATTCACGAGCGAGTGCAACGATTTTCTTTCTCTCGAGGACAGGTAACTCGCGCGCCAACGTTGCACCGAAGCTCTGTTATGTTGCACCGCTAAAGGTGAAACGTGCCAGCGTGTGTAATTTGCCGCGCAACAATTGTTAGTACGAATTATCTATCAATTATATTGTTACACCGGGTATTAATT